GGTGACCTCCTATGCAGCGTACTTCTTCCAGATGTCTGTGCTTCTGCCACCTGGGCACAGCCATCCACTTTCATCCGGCATGATAGACTTGATATCCGGCAGAAGTCTGATGTGGCCTTTGGACGTGCTGTTCTAGCCTCTACCTTGGCGTGACACCCTGCCTCCGGGTAAGACAGCTTTTTAGTCACCCAAGGTGTGATTCACAGAGGCCACAAAGAAGAACGACAGGTCACCCACCTGCAATTGTAGTCCTTCAAGTGGACCTCTGTGATTCACACATCCCGCCCATCCTCCCCACTGTCACGCTATTCTGCTTAATGTAGTGGCAGTTGACACAACTGAAAGGGGAGCCTTGGCACCAAGGTACTTATATGAGGTGGGACGGACCTCATTCTAATGTGTTTTTTGCTACTGCAAAAGCTCTCTCTCTATAAAACCTTTACTGGCATTGTAAAATACAAGTAAGTGCACAGCATAGTTACATTCCAGTTCCAGGTAGGGGGAGGAGCAGGCTAGGGGTTATAGTAGGTAAGGTTCGAGAAAGTTTATGGGGATATGGGGAGGGGGGAGGCCTTTATAACAATGAGGAGGAATTCGGCTACTTGATTGGTAATAGAAGTCGAGAAATCGCTCAGTAGTATGGGGGAAGGGTCAGGGAAAGAGGGGAAGAGGGAAGAGAGAAGTGGCAAAAGCTCTAGAACTTTCCAATGAGGCTCCTCGCAGGCGCGGATCACCCAGGGTGAATCACAGAGGTCCACTTGAAGAACTACAATTACAGGTGGGTAACCTGTCAGTTCTACTCATAAGTGAGGCCACAGTCTCATAACTATCTTGTAGTTAAAACGGCTACAGTTACACCACAAAAAGAATGAAGCTACCTTTGGTTAAGTTACAGTTGTAATATAGTTATAGTTTTATCTTTGGAAAAAGAAGTTGGTTCTCCCTTGAAAAGGGAAGGAGGGAGGAAGGGAGGGCATGCCATCTTGGCCACTAGCCATGTCGATTGGGGGATTCTGTGCATTGTAAGTCCAAAAAATATCTTTTTTTTTTGTCATCTTACATTCCAAATTAGACTGGCCACTTCTTGTTTCATCAAAGCAGTTCCTTCCTAAAGAGTTCATTTTTCCATTGCTGTCTTTCTTTCTGCTTGAGGCTTAAATTTTTCTTTGATTGTATTTATCCTAAAATTACCACTCACCAGAAAAAATATTTCATTCAGATGAAGACCTTGCTTCAGAACCACAAAGCTTTGTTATTTAATTGCACTGCCGTAGCACAGGCAACTACAAAGCCAGGAAGACCAAATAATGTAGCATCTCATGTGCGTCACATTAAATGGGAGAGGAAGGCATACATGTGTGCAATTAACATTAAAAGAGACTGAAATAATGAACCACTTATGGTCCGGGATCTAATATTTTGTGTTGGTCATTTCTGAGGCAAGTACATTAGGAAATGTGTAGTGGGTTGCCTACTGCTGAATATTTTGCACACCAGGGGGAGGGTGATGAAGAGGACATATTATTTTCTTGAATTAATGTGACGTATTGTTGAGCTGGTTTATCAAAGGTCAGCTGAGAACTAACAGAACTAAATCATCAGATTATTCATATACAGTACTTGTTTATTGCCAAATTCTAGTTTCAAGGCTATAAACCTACTCATGGTCCCAGTTACAACAGTTCTTTTCAAACGGGAAGATTGACAGTAGTGTTGACTCACCAACAATTGATTCTATAGGTCTGCTCTAACTAAGACCAGCAATAGGGTTTAGGCCAGAATGGCTACCATTCAGCCTCAAGACCAGCCCCATCATAAGGCAGAATGACTGTAATATGTTACATGTTAATTATGAGTAAAATTGTCTGTTGATTTTTAAAAGTGAAAAAAAAAAACCAATTTTCTTAAATACTACCATGTTAACTTTTTAAAATTGCAAACATTCTTTGAAGCGGTGTTTGTCTGAATTCTCCCAGTGATGTCAAAACCTTTCAGCCCTGTTGCACAACATGGCCTCGTCCAAAAGTTAGGAACAAAGCAAGGAAACTAGGCAACTTGTATATAGATGCACTTGAATCTCTTATGCCATTTGGAGCAAGGCTGGAGTGGAGCACCAGCACTATGACTCATGAACCTTCTTGTTGTATGAGCCCTAGGAACAGCAGTGCAGAACCTAGAAAAACCACCAATGGAATTATGCTGAACCTTCCTCAGGTCTCAACAGATGTGTAGAACTGAGGAAATCACACCATATGTTCTTGCGGCTGTTGGGAAGGTTGTGTGAAATGCAAGACCTGTCAAGTACAGCAGTAATCACAACAGGTTGCTGTTTGACCAGCTATCAAAAAACATTATCTTCTCTGTTGTTGTTTAGTCGTTAAGTCATGTCTGACTCTTTGTGACCCCATGGACCAGAGCACGCCAGGCCCCCCTGTCTTCCACTGCCTCCTGGAGTTGGGTTAAATTCATGTTGGTAGCTTCGATGACACTGTCCAACCATCTCATCCTCTGTCATCCCCTTCTCCTCCTGCCTTCACACTTTCCCAACATCAGCATCTTTTCCAGGGAGTCTTCTCTTCTCACGAGATGGCCAAAGTATTGGAGCCTCAGCTTCAGGATCTGTCCTTCCAGTGATCATTCAGGGTTGATTTCCTTTTGAATGGATAAATCTTCTCTAGATCACCTCAATATCCCAGAATTCTGGGCCCATTTATCCAGATTCCTCATGTATCTGTTGGCCCAGAAGCAGTTTTGACGTCCTCTCAGTCCTTGCGCTCAAAGGACCTGGTCACTGGTCTCATGTTTGGCCTTGAAATGTCAGGAGACAGGATGCTCCCAGTCTGGCAAACCTGTTTAGTCAATGGGATGCTCCCAACCTATTGAATGATGGGTTGTTTTAAATAGAAAATCTTGTCTGTATATTAATCAACTTGTTATTCCAAAAGGCATCAGCCTGCAATCCAGTGTGAAAATAAAACAGTTCATTATAGGGGCTTTGAATGTAAAATTGTAGCCTCACTGAGGTTTGTCCTAGAAAGGATGGACAATTTACAATAGTATTCAATGATTCCCAGGTTTTGTTTTTTAAAAAGAAAAAAACCTTCAGGCATTCATCTTTATCCCCCACCATTTCCAACCCTGGTTTCCTCTCATCCTCTCTCACCTGCTACCCCTAGCACTGCTCTATTGATCTCGGCTGCTTTCAAATTGGTGTCTGACAGAGCCTTAAGCTCCTGTTCTTTTCTCCAGGCCTACGAAGGTGGCCTAAGGATTAATTAGAAAAGGTCAATGCTATAGAAACCACAGCCGTCCTGAAGGCCCCCTCTTTCTCTTTCAAAATCATGTTTAAAGCTCCAGAGATCAAGGAGGACTGGTGCAGAGACACAGAAAATTGCACAATTATTGGGGTGCAGGCTCAAATGGAGAGGGTGGAGAATTAGTAGGGGTATCCCTGGTATTTTGACCCAAAGCCTGCCGCTTTGGAAATCTCTCACATTATCTCAGCAGTGCCCCCAACCCTATTAAATAGCCGGAAAAGAATTTTTGATTTGAAGAATGGGGAGAGAAAACCTGGGGTGGGGGGAATAGAGAGTCTTGCTGGTTCATTTTTAAAATTATTTTTCTGAGGACCTGACCTCCTTCAAGCAACAAAGCCGAACAGGTCAAAGGACTCCCTTTCTGGCTTGATGCAGGGCAAAACTGACAGGTCTGTAACTGTATTTGGGGCAAGAGATGGATTTTGGGGCTCCTGCTGAGCCATTACTTTAGCTGGCTTCTAGGACCACAGCATTTTAGGGCCGGGAGAGATTTAAGGGGTTATCTGCCTAAGCTAACCTCTTTGTCCTGTGGCTAGGTTCTCTGTGGCTAGATCACACATACTAGGTATCCAGGTTACCAAAATTTGGAAAGAGAGAAGTGGAAGGAAGCATAATTGTCCAGCTATTGCTCCCTGTAGAATAACAAAGAGAGATAGTTCAGGGTATTGTTCTTGTTTGCTTTCAGAGCTTGGAAGTCACTAGTTACAAATCAGTAGCAATCAGTTCCTTTTACCCATAGGTAACTGCAACATGACTGCAAATATTAACAATTTCAGTGAAGGATGGTTTCACTCCTTTTGCAGTGTGCATGTAACTTTCAATACCAACAGCAGCTCATGGTCTAAGCAAGGGGTTGCCCTGCTCCGATGGTTACCTATGGGTTTTACCTCACAAAATGGTTGAGGAGGAGTATCAACTGTTTCAGGTCCCTTCCACAACTATCCTGTTGTCTCTAGTAGATATTGAGGTTATATTGAAGTGGGTGGGAGAAGAGTATGTTCTGTGCTGCAGGCCAGGATTCAAATATTTTCAATGGGGAAACACAAAAGTAAAACTTTTGTTTTCTTAAAATGGCAAGTTTAATGTCAACTATAACTATGTTGTGGCCCTGGAACTGGAACTGTACCTAATTATTTTTCAAACATAATGTACAGTAGCTGAATACAGGAGGATCCAAAGTCCTTAAAGCCTGGATGGATATATCCATTAATTCTGGTTTTTCCAACTTATTTGTTTTGTTTTTGTTTGTTTGTGTGTTTGTTTAAAGTTATTTCTATCACTCTGTCAAAACAATTGTGAATTTTGGTAAATTTTTGCAATAAATTGCAACAAAATACTTTCCCATTTCTAGGAAGAGCATAGAACTTTGCATGCAGAACATCACATGTTCAGTTCCGAGCATCTGTTACTGAAAGACGAGTCAGAGTGTAAAACCAATATGGCTCAGAGCCAAAAATTACTTACCTGTCACCAGGGCTTTGGAAAACTCCTTCTGAGGACTATAATTCCTAGGATTCCCAGGTCTGCTGTATGGGGGTTTCTGGGACTGCTCCAAATCCAAGCTGCAATATCTAAAGAGAATGAAACTACTTTTGGGCGGAACCTGTGCTTGTGGGAATTGGTGTCGAGCTCTGATTTTACTATAGATTAAATTTCTCTCTCTTTCTCCCCCCCCCCCCCAAGTGGCCAGCCTATCCCTAGGGTAACGTACACTGAGGAAGAGAAAAGAACATGGGGAACAGTCTTCAGGGAGCTCAAGACTCTATATCCCTCTCATGCTTGTTATGAACACAACCACATCTTCCCCCTTCTGGAGAAATACTGCGGTTACCAAGAAGACAACATTCCACAGTTGGAAGATGTCTCAGTTTTCTTAAAAAGTAAGCAAAGCTGCGGGGGGGAGAGAGATCCTATTTCACCTCAGTTTTCTTAAAAAGTAAGCAAAGCTGTGGGCGGGGGAGAGAGAGATCCTGTTCCATTAGCACAACATGGTAAATACGATCCTAATAATTCAGGGATGGTCAAAATATAGCCAATGGGCTGTAAGTTGGGCCTCACAAGGACTCTCCACATGGGCACCTAGTTTTAAAAAAATCTACTTTCACTCCAGTACATAATTCAGGGATGGTCAAAATATAGCCAAGTTGGGCCTCACAAGGACTCCCCACATGAGCACCTAGTTTAAAAAAATCTATTTTCACTCCAGTTGTCCAGACACTTTATTTTCTTTTGTATTGTTTGTGTTTTTTAATCAGTCCCTGTAATGTCTGAAGTAGTTACTAAGGCTACAAGCCTGCCCATACTTAGCTGGAATAGAGTTGTGTTCAATTGCAGACACTTTATTTTCTTTTGTATTGTTTGTATTTTTTTTAATCAGTCCCTGTAATATCTGAAGTAGTTACTAAGGCTACAATCCTGCCCATACTTAGCTGGAGTAGAGCTGTGTTCAATTGCACTGCATAATTTATCCTTAGCGCTCACGTTTACATATGTCAGAACACATGTTCAGCCAGAGTATAATATGGAGCTTTGCTATTCCTTCAAGGTTGCACCGGATTTCGCCTACGTCCTGTGGCAGGTCTGCTGTCATCACGAGATTTTTTGGCTGGCTTGGCTTTTAGAGTATTTCACTCTACCCAGTACATTCGCCATTCATCAAGACCAATGTACACACCAGAACCGTACGTTTTTCCAGAAGCTCCAGACATTCTACCTGGGCAACGGACTTTGATGCCTGAGCTGTGGGCAGAGCTTAGAAATATTAATCTTTGAACTACCATTCCCAGAATCTTGCCTGGGAGTTGTAGCCCCTCAAACACTAATGTGTTTCCAAATTGGGAAAGAATTTCATTACATTCAACAGTCTTTATGGATGTAGCCTTTTTTGCACCTACCTACACCTCACCTCAAGAATCTTCTACCTGGGCAACGGACTTTGATGCCTGAGCTGTGGGCAGAGCTTAGAAATATTAATCTTTGAACTACCATTCCCAGAATCTTGCCTGGGAGTTGTAGCCCCTCAAACACTAATGTGTTTCCAAATTGGGAAAGAATTTCATTACATTCAACAGACTTTATGGATGTAGCCTTTTTTGCACCTCTCCTGTGAGAACAAACACACCTCACCTCAAGAATCTGATCATTTGCAAGTTTCACTATGAACTCCAAGTGAGGACTTGGAGAATTCACTGAGCTGTGATACAGATACAGTGGTGCCTCGCATTACGATGTTAATTCTTTCCAGAGAAATCGTTGTAGAACAAAAACGTCGTAATGCGAAAATAAAAAGCCAATTGAAATGCATTGAAACCCCTTCAATGCATTCCAATG